ATAGCCAGTTCTACCAGTTATACATGCACAGTTGTACCCAATTGTACTAGTTTTATCCAAGTTGTTCTACCTACTTTTAACAAAATACCATACATCAATTGAATCAAACACCAAATCTTTTAAGATCCTTACATCGTTTTCATTCGAGTTGGTTCCCGAGTTGGAGCTTTCCTCGTAATTATCTCCATCTTTCTCTTTAGAACCTTCTTCTTGTTCTTCTTCTTCTTCTTGTTCTTCATCTTCTTCTTGTTCTTCTTGTTCTTCTCCTTCTTCTCCTTCTTTTCCTTCTTCTCCTTCTTTTCCTTCTTCTCCTTCTTCTCCTTCTCCATCACTATCCGATGAGGATCCTAGAGTTTCACCACTCTCCTCACCGTCTCCTCTTAACACAATCTCTCTTCCTGTAACAACACTCTCCGATTTTTCTTTCTCCTTCTCGCCGCCGGTCTCCTCCTCCGCAACAACCGCCGGCGCCTCTGGTAAATCGGCCAATGCTCCTTCTTCCTCGTTTACTTCCGGAGTTGTCGCTTTCTCCCCGGCCGCCGGAGAATTCTCATCCGCCGAGACAAATTATTTGTCCGCCGCTTTGTCTACTTCTTCCTCCGCCCCTTTCCCAATGGGTTCTTCTTCGGCCGCTTTTGCTTCTTTCGCTACTTTCGCCGCTTTTACTTCTTCGGCTTCTTCTGCCGGCGCCGGCGCCAATTCATCATCTTTCTCTTTAACTCCTACAACTTATTTTTCTTCAACGATTTCTTTCTTCTTTCCCCTTCTTGTTTCAACCATACTTCTTCCAATCAATGTCAATACTCAAAGATGATACTCAATGGAGATGATTGCTCAAGATGAAACCTCCTACTCGAATTCAAAATACTCACACTTAGAGAGAAAAAGAGAAGAAGAAGAAACGGTTCGAAGAGAAGAAGAAGAAACGAGTTGCGATTAGGGATTGAGTTTTTTTTTAATTTTTACAAATTTTTTATTATTTTGGGTTTCTGGGTTTTATTAATGAGTGGGTGGATATATTTGGGTTTCGGAATGTAATAATACAATTTTTATGAGGGTAGAGTTGTAATTGAATGGTTTTTCGATTTAAAAAAAAAAAACAGAAAACAAAGAAAGAATAGAGATTGCTTCTACCCAAAAAATGGCTCACGAGACGAATTCTCTTTAAAAATGGATACATCAAAAAGGGTATTTCTCAAAAAATTTCCTAACTTATTGTATATTTTTCTTTATTTTTAATTTTTTTATTCCTTAGACCTAATTTTTATTAATAATTTTATTTTATAATTACTATCCTTGTTCCTTTAGGATTACTACTAAATAATTGTTAAATTTCCTAAATATTTATTTTCTTCTTTCTATTTTGAAAATATTCTTTTTTTAAAACAAATTTATATAATTTCTTACCACTGATTATCTAACACGTGTCAACATCTTATCAATTCAATTAACACGTGTCACGATCTTGTTAATGACTAACTATGAAAACCCAATTTTATATAATAAGATATATTCTAGACTATATCTTCAATGAGCAATACTTGGGTCTCTTATTCACCCTCTCTCAATTAACCAATCAAAATTCTACAATATGTATGTCATATTATATTAAAAATTAAATTAAAATTAAAATCAGAAAAACAAAAGAAACCTTAACCACTCCTTTATAAACTCAAACCGAAATATAATTTTGTTTAATTGCCAAATATAAAGCATAACCACTATTTTATAAACCAAACGGAATTATCATTTCATTTATTTAAAAACTCTAACCACTCTTTTATAAAAACCCAAACCAAAATACAATTTCGTTTAACTACAAAATATAAGCTCTAACTACTATTTTATAAACCCAAACCAAAATATAAGTTAGTTTATTTATAAAATCTAAACTTTAATCACTCTTTAATAAATCCAAAACAAAATATAATTTTCTTTATTTATAAAATTCAAACCTTAATCCCCTTATATAAATCCAAACCAAATTATAATTTTGTTTAATTGTAAAATATAAATTCTAACCCCTTTTTATATACTCTAACCGAACATATAATTTCTTTACTAAAAATCTTACAGATTTTTTGTTTCTCTAGTTTGTTTTGTTTTCCTGATTTTAAATTATATTATGAAATGACATATTATTGTATTTTGATTGGATAATTAAAAGGGAATGAATAAGAGTGGTTCACCCGAATATTTTTTATCTTCGATGATACATACAATGACAACATTAGCTTAAGTTTATATATGAAGTATGTGTGTTTTAAAAAATAATGTTATTTAAAGAAAAAATTTTGGGCGCATTTCAACTGTCTCTAACTTTTGTTAACGTTATATAAGGGTTAAGTAATTATTTATAATTTTTTTATAGTAAATGGGAAAAGACAAGAGCTTTGCAAGACCTAATATGTTGGACCAGCACTGATCTTGGTTATATTATATTTAGTAATCATCCTAAGACCAGCATTTGCAGGTGTTCCGTAAAAAAATGTTGCTTTGTTCTCTTAGTTCTTTCTGGTCTCTTAAGGGTTTTTTTCTAGTTTTCTTTGTTCTTAAATTAAGAATGTATCCTTTTTCGATTTTTGTTTTGACATTATCTATTTTGTATTTCTAGTTTAGTTTTTTTTTTGTGATTTCACTTTGATAGGGCTTAGATTCCGGGAAATTTCTTTGTTCCTCCGGCAGTGTCTCCGGAGACTTTCAGTTGTCCATCGAGTTAAGTGTCTTTTTTTGGACGTTTGTAATCTTACTCTTGTTCTAAAACAAGTTTTAATATAATATTAAACTATGGGGAAAAAATAATAATCATCCTAAAACGTATAATACCCTTTTATAATTGTATCTAATCATCTTTTGCTTTCTTGCATCTTCATTTTTCATGTAATCACCAAAACTAAACTTTATATTGTAAAATTGATACTTCAAGAATTACAATAGATTGGCTGTGCATCTGGAGCATGTTTGTGTAGTTAATTGAACATTTTAAAACCTAACGTTATAAATTGCAAAACCTCAGTCTTCAACACAAATATTGTTAATATATATTACGTAGCTTATTCAAGTTGAATTATGTGGTAATTTAATCCAGTTGTGAAGTGGTTGTAGTCAAGTTGAAAATATTTTCTTATATATTTAATCTAACATGATAATTTTATAACTATTTGAGTGATTGTCCTTGCCCCTATATCACACTCATTTAGATGATACATCATACATGATCTATCTATCATTGACTTCATCGATACAACCAAAATGTATTTTCAAATAATTTCTCTTCTGTAAGGTTCCTTTTCCTCGGTTTGGCTAACCGAGTTCCTCCTTTAGCTTTATTCTAAAACTTGCAATATATATAGTTGGAAAATAACAGTGTTAAATGATTGCAATAGAAATTAAAACTTTAAACAAATACAATAAACGGTTAATTATATATATAATAATATGAAAATATATATAGAAAATCACAAAAATATAGGTATTTTCGTAAAGGTTGAGATATACAAATTACTATAAAAGATTGAGTGTATTTTATAGTGAGAATTAACCAGATTAACACAAATTTGATATAAAAAAGAATAACTCATTTGACATCTATAATATCTAAAAACTAGTTTGAGTTTTTGATTGAAACGAGAAATTGAGTTTTTTTTTGTTAAACCTTGTGTTTTCGATGATTCCAATGTTTTGAGAAATGCTAATTTAGTCTGTTTTGTTAAAGCTTGTGTTTTCTTCTTTGTGATTGTGTTATTATCTCATTGTTCTTTCATACGTTTAGTAGGCGTTCCCTTGGTTAAGAACTTTACCCTTGGTTGAGTTTCACTTTCTCCATAAACATAGTCAATGGACTGTTTAGGATACTGTTCGGTTGGTGTATCTGGTAGGAACTCGTATACTATCTTTAAGTTTATGTAAGTCTCTACTGTTTACTAGGTTTTGTGTAGAAACGAAAAGATGTACAATATATGGTCCAATGGGTAACAAATCCATGGGTAAACTTACGTGGAGAGAAAGGGGTCAGATGAACCCTATTAAATCTAAAAAATAAAATTTGTCAGTCTCCATAATATTTGTGTTTTTCTACTTTTAAAAGGGTCCAAAATCTTTTTAAAACATTTAGGAACGACGATCTATTTCCCCCCAGGAACTATCATATACGACCAGTTCCACCCACACTTTTAGCCTCTTTCTGTGTCTCCCTCAAAAATAAGTTCTACAATTATTTCCCCCCAATTATAATGTTCGAAACTTTTTTCCCCATAATTGTTGGTTTCCTCGGTTAACTTCATAAACCCGAAACAAAACAAAAATACTCATTAGCAAAACCGAATTAGAAACCAGGGTCTGAGTAATAAACCAACCCGCAACCCAGTTCATCGTTTGTTCATAAAATCCCCAAATCGAAGAACCCTAAAAACCTTTGCTTCTATTCTTCTTCACTTTCAAAATCGAATCAAAGCTAAACAATGAGCAATGCATCAGGAAAGTCGAGTGGAACATCAAATCGTCGACAAAGAGGGATAGTTAGGGGTGTGCCGAAAAGGTGTTGGTGTGGGTCTGACATCGTTGCGAAGAATTTTATGTCAGAACCCAATCCTGGCTGGCGTTACTATCGTTGTTCTTATGCAGCAAGACTTAGGGTAAGGAATGCACCTTATTGATGATGATGATTTTAGATTTGTTTCTCATTGTTGGATTGAATATAATGCATCTCATTGATGATGATCATGTTTTCAAATGGGTCGATGAGGCACTTTATGATGAGATAGAGACATTGGCTTCAAAAATGTCTAGAATTGAACAAGTTGTGGAGCATGAGAAGGTGTGTTTTGCGAGGAACCAGATGGACCTCATCACATCATCAAAAACACCCATATCATAGTCCTTCACTCTCTCTAGGTTCTCTCTAAACTCAGCCTCATTGTAACTCCATGCTAGATTCCAGATAAACGGCTTCATCTGTGTCTTCTTACCATGATTTGCCTTCAAATTCCCATAGATGTGTCTCACACACATCCTATATGTTCAATCTTTGGTAACTCGATCTGCACAGCTCTAATTACACCCTGAAAAAGAGCAACATATTACAGAGAGTAAACAACAACAGATACTAAAACAAAAAAAAGTTAAAAACAAATCAAAACTCATACCTTCTGACGATCTGAGACGATGATGTATCCTTCACCATCTCCTAGTCCCAAATCAGCTTTAACCTTGTTCACAAACCAAAGCCAATTAGGGCCATTCTCCACTTGAACAACCCCCCCATGCCACTGGATATATGGCATTGTCTGCATCTCTCCCTAATGCTACCAACAACTGACCTTTTGTTTTCCCTCTTAAGAAACAACCATATACTCCCAATATTGGCCTACATGTCTCCTTCCAGGTTCTTCTAAGACTGTCAAAGCACACATAAAATCTATTGAATTCATCCTCACCTTTCTCATTTGTCAGTGTATCCACAACCACAGTAGAACCCGGATTTGATTCTTCCATCTCAGAAGTAAAATCTCTAATCCGTGCAAACTGCTCTTCATATTCTTTATCTATCCATTTCAAAGCTTTAAGCCTAGCAGATTGGCACTGAGGTCTTGATACACTAATCTTCCATTTCTTAATTATCAACTCTTCAATCTTCATTGGCATGAAATAATCTGGTTCCTCCCGGATCTTGTGTAGAAATAATCTTGCAATCACTGGCACTTTCATCAACTCACACTCCCCATTAACCGAACAACTATGATTATCAATGAATCTCTTAACTTCCCACTTATCCGAATTAGAGACAACAGAGCAGTAGATACGCCATTTACAACCTTCAGCATTACAACGGTACCCAAGTTTAGTTTTATCATACCTGTACTGTCTGATATTCCTAGATGTGCGAAGACTGTAGTCGAGGACAGCTTCTTTAAAGGCGATTTTGTTGTAGAAAATTTGGTTCTTGTACAAATTTCCATCACCACGTCGGATCTCGTTACGACATCTCATCCCTGGAACATCTTCTTCTTCTTCATCACTGTCACTTTCGGGAATGGTATCGTGACGAATCGACGGTTCATCGACAAATTCGATGATTGCTTGCTCTAGGTTGTAGTCGTTTCGAGCGGTTATATCTTCCACATCTTCATCATCGGGTTCTTGGTCAACAGGGACACCGTTCATCTCTTCATCGAGAAGTGACATCTTGGAAAAAAACGAAATCGATTAAGAGAAGAAGAAAATTTGGGAAGATGAAGAAATCGCGTAACTGGGATTAGGGTTCTTGATGCAATCGAATTTGGGGTTTTTTGATTTCGAGGTTTTCGGTTTTTTTCTTTTAATCGGGCTAGGTTTACTTAAATTGGTTTAGTATAGGTTTAGTTTTCTTTTACATGGTTAAGACGACATTGGTCTATAGTAAACCAACATTAACCCAGCTTCATGTGTAAATCGGTTTCGATCTTTTACTAAATGGGGAAAAAAGTTTCGGACTTTATAATTGGGGAAAAATAATTGTAGAACTTATTTTTGAGGGAGACACAGAAAGAGGCTAAAAGTGTGGGTGGCACTGGTCGTATATGATAGTTCCTGGGGGGAAATAGATCGTCGTTCCAAACATTTATTAATTTTTAGAACTACTTTTTTGTATAGTTATACTTATTTTTAATTTCAAAAAAGAACAACATAAAATTTCAACAATTTATAGAACTTTTTAAAAAGAAAATTAATATTTTGAACTAATTAACTTCTATTTAATATTTTGACCTCTTTAAAAATATTTATGAATCTGCCATTGATTAATCTACAATCAGTAAATTAATTAGGTGGAATTTATGGCTTTTGCTAGATTTTTGTGTGTTCGCAACAATTATTTTGATACGTTCATAGATATAACAAATTGATTTATTTTTCCACATGTCAACAATCCTTACAAACTATAAATATGTGTATATATATATATATATATATATATATATATATATAATAATAATAATAATAACACAATATGTATACAAAAGTAATAATGAGAAAGCTAAACAGAGAATTTCTCAATAAAGCTAATCAGAATATACCTTTCTAAAACTACTAAATCGGTACTCTCTCACCAATATCATTGGTTAAACAAAGCAATAAACTATGTATATAATGTATGTGAATTCTCTGGTACAACTATACCAAACTACAATTTTAGTTACTTTATTTTTTCACCAAAAATTAAGCAAGGAAAATATATGGAAAAACTATATATTATTTGAAAAATTAAACACAAACTACCTACGAAATACAATAGTACGTACCTACATATAGATAATCTATACTGTGAGATCGGATCGGATCTTGTATATACAGCCAATGACAATTTTCTATATTAAGAACATTAACTAGTTCATTTTTAATATATTGAGTTGGAAAAAAAGACATACAAGTTCGTTGAAAAAAATCATATCGTCAGCTGCTTTAACGTGTTCTTCGACGTCGTACTTCTATGTAGGGATGTGTAATTATTTCTAATCTGACTAGATTTTTTTTTTTTTTTTTGTGTAAGGTCCAAAACTACATGCAAACTTAACTGATCAAAAATTCTTATTAAAAGCTTTATTTAAAATATTAGTAGGATCGATTCAAAATTAAAAGGACAGTTTTTACAAATAACACAAAAACAAGATTTATTTCTAAATTAACTAATTATTTCCAAAAATTACACCATATTTCAAAATTAAACTTTCAAAATGAAATTCTTAACATTATACACTAATTATTTAGCAAAAAAGAAAACTTCAAACACTAAGCTATATCCCTAAAAAACTATACCCTAAATGTTAAATAATCAACTCAAACCTTAAAATAAAAATCAAAAAAAGATAAATTAATATTATAATTATATTAATCAGTGCTAATCTCGAAAATTTGTAAAATGTGTGTTATAATTTTCTGTAAAACTTATTTTGATGCTATTATAGGATATTTCTCAAACTTCAAACTAAAACCATAAAAACTATAGTTTGATTAAAAACCTGAAAATTTCCAAATAAATAATTATCTAACGCCTCTATCCTTTTTCAATACTGAAAAGACAAATTCCAAACCGGAACCTTTTGTGATAGTTGGAATTTCAGAATTAATAAAACATTTTCTTAAAACTCCAACTAGAAGAAGATGCGTAGGTTTTAGGACCGATAACTTTTGTAATGTAAATGGAGTTTTCCTATTTAAATACACCAAAGAGACTCTCACCACAGAGTACTCTCTCAAGCAAAACACATTACCACCTCTCTCTCCCTCTCCACCATGGATACCGCAACCACCACATGCTCCTCCGTTGATCTCGCTGCTCTCCTCTCCTCTTCTTCTAACTCAACTTCTTCCCTCGCTGCAGCAACCTTTCTATGCTCTCAATTCTCCAACATCTCCAACAAACTCTCCGACACAACCTATGCCGTCGACAGCACGTATCTCCTCTTCTCCGCCTACCTTGTCTTTGCTATGCAGCTCGGGTTCGCTATGCTTTGTGCTGGCTCAGTCCGAGCCAAGAACACTATGAACATCATGCTTACTAATGTCCTTGACGCTGCGGCTGGAGCCATCTCTTACTACCTCTTCGGATTCGCATTTGCCTTTGGTACACCTTCCAACGGCTTTATTGGCCGCCATCATAGCTTCTTTGCCTTAAGCTCTTACCCTGAACGTTCCGGTTCCGACTTCAGCTTTTTTCTTTACCAATGGGCTTTTGCCATAGCCGCAGCCGGAATCACTAGTGGCTCTATTGCTGAGCGAACACAATTTGTTGCTTACCTTATCTACTCTACTTTCTTGACCGGTTTTGTTTACCCGACAGTCTCGCACTGGTTCTGGTCGAGTGATGGTTGGGCTAGCGCGTCCCGATCTGACAACAATCTCTTGTTTGGGTCAGGTGCTATTGATTTTGCAGGTTCAGGAGTTGTTCACATGGTAGGTGGAATTGCCGGTCTATGGGGAGCATTAGTTGAAGGACCACGAATAGGTCGATTTGACCGGTCAGGACGGTCTGTAGCTTTACGTGGTCACAGTGCATCTCTTGTCGTTCTTGGTACTTTCTTGTTATGGTTTGGATGGTACGGGTTTAACCCTGGTTCCTTTTTAACCATACTAAAAGGCTACGACAAATCCCGGCCATATTATGGTCAATGGAGCGCTGTAGGTCGCACCGCTGTCACTACAACCCTTTCCGGCTGTACGGCTGCGTTGACCACTTTATTCAGTAAACGTCTCTTAGCAGGCCATTGGAATGTCATTGACGTATGCAACGGACTTTTAGGCGGATTCGCAGCTATAACCTCGGGATGCGCGGTGGTAGAGCCGTGGGCTGCTATAGTATGTGGCTTTGTGGCATCATGGGTTTTGATAGGATTTAACTTGCTAGCCAAGAAACTTAAATACGATGACCCACTTGAGGCCGCTCAGCTCCATGGAGGATGTGGAGCATGGGGATTGATTTTCACCGGGCTTTTCGCTACCAAAAGATACGTCAACGAGGTGTACACCGGTGATAGGCCATATGGACTGTTGATGGGCGGTGGAGGAAAACTACTTGCGGCACAGATCGTTCAGATCATTGTGATCGTTGGGTGGGTGACCGTAACGATGGGACCTTTGTTTTATGGGTTACATAAGATGAATCTTTTGAGGATATCAGCTGAGGATGAAATGGCAGGGATGGACATGACACGTCATGGAGGATTTGCGTACGCATACAATGACGAAGACGACGTGTCGACTAAACCTTGGGGCCATATGGCTGGACGAGTGGAACCTACTAGCCGGAGCTCGACGCCTACACCGACCTTGACTGTTTGATAGGAGAATTATATTGAGTGGTCCCAAACGAGTGAGTTTTTTTTTAATATGTGGTGAAGACAAACGAGTTCGGGTACCAAACGTGTTGGACGAATCTTTGTGTATTTTGTCTCTTTTCTTTACTTTTTTTTTTTTTTTTTTTTTTTTCTGTGGCTTGCTTTGGTGTGGAACGTTTAACAATAACATGATTAGTCTCTCTTTAAATTAATATGAAGTTAACGTTTCTTAATCAAAATTAAACCTTGGAATAAAATCCGTTTTTTAACTGCCCTTGAGAAAATTTATGTTTCTTGTAATATAAAATGTCAGATTGGGAACGTTAGAATGTTAAATCATCAGCTAAACTTAATTGAGAAAATAATTGTATAATTGTTTCTTTTACAAGAATTTATGTTAGTAAAATGATATATTATGTTATACTATTTTATAAATATTTGTATCCATATTCCGAATTCTAAAGCTTTGGGAAACACAAATAGAATGAATCATCTCATCAACTATGCTGATGATGACCAAATTATAGTCGAGGTTTATTATATAAATGATTGATGAGCTTATCAAATATCACTTCCTCATACAAAGGATTACTCTCGGGTCCTTATCGGCTATCACCACGTACATACGTAACCATGATTTAGGATTTGGTATTGTAACCTATGCATCTAGGCTTGTGGCTAGTTCAATGCTATCCATTGGTTCACTGATTCATGTTTGTTTGTGTTGATTGGTCTACAAATTTGTGAATAATAAATATTTTACAAAAAAAATATTAAATAAAGAAAATTAATCTTACAACTTTTAGAAAACGGATGGTCCGAAGCATCGGATGTTACTTTATCCTTTTCTGTTCCTATTTGCCATTAATTAGTTACTACCATTCAATTTTATCCTTTGACTTGTAGTCCCCTCTTTTTATCATCACATATTTATATTCACTCAAAAGTTGATCTTGAAATACATAAATATTTGACTAGCTTCGGTTTAGAAGTATGGTCTATTTCAAAATTTTATTTGAGATATTCATTTTTGGTCATATTTTATATATTTATAGATAATAGAATGGCTAAAAATATTTAAAAGAAATAGATAATTTATGGGATGATTAAAGTTTTTTTGTGGATTAGTAAATAAAGTTATTAAAAAATTAATGACAAAAATTTAAAGAATATAGGAAAACTAGCAGTTGACCCGCGCTGCGCGCGCGAGGTTTATAATTTTTTTGTTAACTTTTTATTCATATTGTGATATTTTATTTATTTTTAATTGATTTTCAAAACATATTATACTTATTTTCTCTTGAATTATTATCTTTCAATATTTAAATTTGGATTAAAAGCATTTTCTTATTGATCATGTTATAAACTAATATTTCACTTTCAATTTTATTTTTTCCCTTAAAAATTTTATATATAAAATTATATAAATGTTGCTTTTATTCTACCATAAATTTAAAATTTACTTACGTTCTTAAACTCAGTAACACATTTAAAATTTTAAACTATCATCAATTTAAAATGAAAGTTGAATTATATTAATACCACTAACTAATAAAAAATGAAAGTATTTCTTATTTAACATTTCATTTATTTACATAATTTATTTTTATTTATATGAATTTTCTATTAATTAAATAAGTAGCATAAATATGCACTAAATAAATGTTTTAAATTTATTTTAATGTAAAAAAATGTGGCTTAGGTGGATGCTTAGGTGGCATCATAAGAAGAGAGAAAAAACTAACTTTATATATATAGATACTACTTTATGTAGTCAAATTGTTTTTTAATTAAGCAAATGTCATCACATGTGCATTAATTACTTTGCTTTTTTCTGAGACAGTTAAACCCTTGTATCATTTTTGGAATTTATCTACGTTACTTCTATATGTAAAACTAAGTATGATAAATCAGATTAGTATATATAAAACAATTAACTATATCCGGATAACAAAAAAGTAGTTCGATAACAATGATTTACATTGTTTGTAAGAAAATCAACTAATTAACATATTATCGAAAGTCATTTCTACAACCTCATCTCTTTCAGCATCGGTAACATCTTCATCTTCTACTTGAGTAACAATATAAAATAAAAGAGCTAACTAATCTATATTATTAAAGCTAAAGTACCCATATAAAGTTCGTGATTTAAATGGCCAAAATTTGAATGTTCATGATTTAAATGACATTTTTTCCATTATAAAATAACTAAAATTTATAACTGAAATAAAATAATTAATATACATTCCAATACTTCATTTTCGGATCATTGGGTATGGATAATAAATCGGATATTTCTACAGCAGATTATATCTGTAACACCCGTATTCGAAAACAGGTGGTCTCGATAGAGACCAAGGAAGGGTGTCAATTAATACCAACATTTTTTTGTCGGACCGGTTTGATTTCAATCGCAAAATCGACTTGTTTTGAGTTGGTTAACCCTAGGGTTCGAGATTAAAACAAGAGAGTCGAATTTAGAGTGTCTTCTAGCCGCTTTTTGATACTCAAGAGAGTTAAGATAGGTATCTAAAAGTTCTTTGAGTTTTTGGGGTTGTTCTTGAGAGTTGAGGCCAAGGGAAGGGAGATCTTGTATCTGTGGTGTTAGGAGTGCTCTGTGCTGTCCTTGATTGTGTGTTTTTCGTCACTGTTCATCCATTGCAAAAGGTGAGTACGTGACCATGGTTGATCTGAGCATGTTAAACCCTTCTAATGTGTAGTTGATGGATATAGATGGCTGGAAATTGTTTTGTGTGGCTTGTTTGTGTGTTTTTCTTGCTGTGTTTGCATGATTCAGTGATAGGATTCATGGCTTAAACTTTGGAGGGGTGAATCGTTCTCTAGAGATTTGAGAGACGATTTTTGGGCATCTGCAGAGTCTATGTCGATCGACACCAATTTCGAGATAGTTTTCTACAACGTTTTCTGGACAACAATTTCTGGACATCGAGTAGTTAATATCTTTTTATGCCTGGTTTGCGTTGATTGGTTAATCTTATGCATGTTGGTTTAATATGATTGTGTGTATAATTAACCCAGTAGATGTGAGGATCGCTTCACTGAGTATTTGTGATAATACTCACTTATCTCATTGTGTTTGTGGTGCAGGTAAAGATAAAATGTGACTGTGGAATCAAGGCGAGGAGAGAAGAATGATATAGGGGCTCATTGATTGTTTGAAATATTGTTATAAATTGTTTATGAATTGCTAGTTCTGAAATTTAGAAACATGATAGGTTAATTATGTTTTTCTGGAATGTTTGCTGGTTTGATTTTTGGATGAATATTGTTTGGTTGGATTGCTGGTTTAAAGCAATTGGATTAATTGGATTGTTTATTTGAGTCTTCCGCTGGTTACTATGTTTGGATTGTTTTAATTGTGGTCATCTGGATTAATTTGATTTGTTTGGTCTATTTAGTTAAAATTAATTTAGACCGGTTTAGCTGGTTAAGATTGTTTTAATTAATTGGATGAATCCGGTTTGCATGATTAAAAAAAAATCGGGATGCATCTTTTCAATATCACTAGGTAGTGTCCCGCGCATGCGCAGGTTATCATATAATGAGTAATTAATTTACATTTACTTCAAAAAATAAAAAAATAGAATAAATAAATTTCAATGCCAATGAAATTTTTACACTTTATTTATTTAAATCATACAATATAATCATACATCTATATCGTTTAAATTTATTCGTTGATTTATTTTTCAATTTTGATAGTAATTTTCTTCTTAATTTTTTGGCATGTTTAGGTAAAACAATAATATTGTTAATGAAAAAAATGGAAATTTACTATGATATTCAAATGTTTTATTTAAGTATTTCATAAACTAACATATAACCTGAAGTATTTAGTAACTAAAATATAAATTATTGTGAAAGTAACAAAAATATATATATATCTATATATATAAAGTTAGCTTTTTCTCTCTTCTCCTTAAGCCACATCATCATTCACCTCATTTTATTATTTAATTTTTAAAATTAATTATACCATTTTATCATTTAATTTTAATATTTAAACCTATGTAAATAAGTTTTCCAAAATGAATATGAAAGGTTTTTTATATATTATATATTATAAAACTAAAAAAGATAATTGATTAAGAGTTAAAAAAACTTACTAATTATCGATTATACTAACAAATATAATGTATAATATAAACCCCACATCATCATTCATCTTAATTTTTTACATTGATTTAGAATTACAACACTTTAGTTTTTAATTTCTTTTCTACCTCATAACTTAGCTTTTATTTTATTTTTATATTCAATAGTGGTTTTAAGAAAATAAATAATATAGTAAAAAACATTTATGTCCAAAATAAATAAAACAAGTATCTATTTATAAAGTAATGATCAATTTTTTTGATTAATGGGGCTAAATACAAATACAAAATACAAAGCAAGGATATTTATACTATACAGATAGATATACCACTAAATTGATGTCATCCGAAGCCACCTCAAACGAAAACACAACCGATTTTAGGCATAAGAAGTAGAAAAAAAAACTAAAAAGTAAAATGAAAACACTTGGATAAATAAATAAGTGGATTCACCAAAATAATTTGGCTTACAAGAATTGAAGGCTTTTGAAATGTAAGGTTCTAACAGCTACTATTTGACCTAAATCAAAGTTAAACAAATAAAAATAAACATTTCATATACTAAATTAATAACAAAACAACAGTAAAAACAAAAAAAATAAACAAAAAACAAAGAAAAATCAAAATATAAATTTTAAAATATAAAAAACAATTATAAAATTCCCGCGCGCAGCGCGGGTCAACAACTAGTATCCTATAAAATCATATGAAGTGCACCCAAAACATTTTAAAATTACCCAAATCAATTTTGATAGTAATTTGCTTCTGTATTTTTGAGCATTTTCAGGTAAAACAATAATATTTTAATTTTGATATACCCACTCACAAAGCCTTGGCCCATTTTCCCTTTTCTCTTCAAACTTTGCACTTATTACTTGTTGTTATTTCCAAGACTCTTGCATGAGCTTGCATGAGTGTAATTTCCAAGACACTTGTGCATGCTCTTACATGTTTTCTCTTCTCTTCTCTCCTCTCCTTCGTCCTCCCTTCTCTATATAAACCCCATGTATTTCTCTTTTGCAAACCATCAAACATTTTATTCAAAAACTCTCTCTTTACTTGCTTGATCAGAAAAGTATGTAATATCTTTTCAACTTGTTTTCTTCTTAGTGTGTAATATCTAAGTTGGATCCAAGCTTGTAGTCTAAGAGTTTCTCATCCCTCTTGGAAGTACACCTCATTCTCCCCTTCATTCTGCTGCAGCCACTCCATCTCGTCATCACCCTCATTCATCGTCATTCCGCTGTTTTGTTCAAGATCTATCCATCATTCATCATCAATCTCGCCACTTCCCCATTCAAAACCAACAAAATGGTCCTTGAAGCATAGATTCACAGCATGGAGTCTATCATGTAGTATCAAAGCCACTTTGTAACCAGGTTTTGAAGTTCCATCCCGAAATTTCCGTTTTTCTGATTTTAGATCATTATTGCGTGAATTTAATAAACTAACTGGAATGTTCAAAAATTGTGAAACCAATTGCTTAAGAACCAGTGAAGTGTCTATTATTTTCTAAAATTAATTTCGGAATTTTTAGAGTCAATTTGCTATTTTCCAGATCCGTTTAAATTTGTCTGTTTTTGTACTGTTTACTTGTTAAATTTTTGATTTTTTCAGGTACAATGGTGACAAGTGAAGAAGAAGAAGAGTCATCTACATCTAGTCTTGAGAAGAGGATTTTGGAATCAGTAACCACCGCCATGGCAACGATGATTGAGGAAAAGATTGGTGCTCTACACTTGCATCAAGTCAACCCGGAACCAAATCAACGTCAAAGGCAAGAAGAACCACGGCATGAAGAACCAAGGCAAAATGATGAGGCAAGGAGTTACTATAGTCACGCCTCTTCCCACAGGAACCAACGTAGGCGTCGCCGAGAGAGAGCACCGCCTAGAGATCCTTTGGAAGGCCTAAAGCTCAAAATTCCCGCATTCCATGGAACCAACAACCCGGATACTTATTTGGAATGGGAACAGAAAATTGAGTTGGTCTTTCTTTGTCAAGAAAGTCTTGAGTGCAATAAGGTTAAAATTGCGGCTACTGAATTCTACGACTATGCCCTAAGTTGGTGGGATCAACTTGTCACTAGCCGAAGACGTGCCGGAGACTATCCGATGGACACATAGAACCAGCTTAAAGCCCTTATGCGAAAATGATTTGTACCAGGTTCCTATCATCGAGAACTACACCAGCGGTTGAGGAATTTGGTTCAAGAAAGCAAGACCGTCGAGGAGTACTTTAAGGAAATGGAAACCCTTATGTTGAGAGCCGATCTTCAAGAAGATGGAGAAGCGGTCATGTCTCGATTCATGGGAGGTCTTAACCGAGACATCCAAGATCGTCTAGAGACTCAACATTATGTGGAACTTGAGGAGATGCTTCACAAAGCAGTCATGTTCGAGCAGCAAATTAAGAGAAGGAACGCCCGGTCAAGTCACACCAAGACCAGCTACAGCCCGAGAAAGCCAAGTTTTCAAAAGGAAGAAAAGAACAGTTGTCAAAAGGATTACAAGCCGTTCGTCAAGCCAAAGGTCGATCTAGATCCAAAAGCAAAGGGTAAGGAAGTAATCACGAGGGCTAGAGATATTCGATGCTTTAAGTGTCAAGGACTTGGGCATTACGCGAGCGAATGTTCCAACAAAAGGATCATGGTTCTTAGAGACAATGGCGAAGTAGAATACGAAGATGATCGTTCGGAAGAAGGCTCAATAGAAGAAGATATGGAAGCCCCTACTAAAGGAGAGTTGCTTGTTGCGAGAAGATCGTTGAGTGTTCTAACTAAAGCCGAGGAACAAGCGCAAAGGGAAAATTTGTTTCATACACGTTGCCTCGTCAAAGATAAGGTATGTAGTTTGATTATTGATGGTGGAAGTTGTACTAACTATGCAAGCAGAAGTATGGTCGAGAAGCTTGGTTTAGAAGTGCTTGAACACCCGAGACCGTATTCACTCCAATGGCTCAACGACACCGGTGAGATGTCCATCAAGGAACAAGTCAAGGTACCTCTTTTAATTGGGAAGTATCAAGATGAGATCATGTGCGACATTCTACCGATGGATGCTAGTCACATTCTTCTCGGACGACCATGGCAATCGGATCGAAGAGTTCTTCACGATGGCTTCACCAACCGGCAGACCTTCAAACACAATGGCCGAAAGACAACTCTCATCCCGATGACTCCGCATGAAATCTATTTAGACCAGCTAAGTATGAAACAACGAGCCATCAAATCAACCGAACCAATCTATACCAAGGGTAAGAACAAGGTAAATCACAAAAATAGTTTACTCTTTGTTTTCAAAGAAACTCTTACTTGTTCAACTAATCCCGAACCGGTGCTACCGAGTAAGATCAAGTTGGTTTTGCAAGAATATAAGGACGTGTTTTCGGAAGATAATCCCATAGGTTTACCACCCATCCGAGGGATCGAGCATCAAATTGACTTCGTCCCGGGAGCCGCCCTACCAAACCGACCAGCTTATCGCACCAACCCGACCGAGACAAAAGAACTCGAGAAACAAGTGAACGAGCTTATGGACAAGGGTCATATTCGAGAAAGCATGAGTCCGTGTGCTGTTCCAGATTTACTTGTACCAAAGAAAGATGGAAGTTGGCGCATGTGCGTGGATTGCCGAGCCATCAATAATAATACGGTTAAGTATCGCCACCATATTCCTCGATTAGATGATATGCTTGATGAATTGCATGGTTCTAGCATCTTTTCAAAAATTGATCTTAAAAGTGGTTATCATCAAATCCGGATGAAGGAAGGTGATGAATGGAAAACGGCTTTTAAAACGAAACAAGGATTGTATGAATGGTTAGTTATGCCGTTTGGGTTAACAAATGCACCTAGCACTTTCATGAGATTGATGAATCATGTCCTTAGGAAGCATATTGGAGTATTTGTTGTTGTTTATTTTGATGACATCTTGGTTTATAGCAAAAACTTGGAAGATCATGTCATGCATCTTAAACTTGTTTTGGATTTGCTTCGAAAGGAAAAGTTGTATGCGAACTTCAAGAAGCGCACCTTTTGCACGGATAATCTTGTTTTCCTAGGCTTTGTTGTAAGTGCAGATGGAATCAAGGTCGATGAAGAAAAGGTCAAGGCGATTCGAGAATGGCCGAGCCCTAAGAATGTGAGCGAAGTAAGGAGCTTTCACGGTTTAACGAGATTTTACTGACGATTCGTCAAAGATTTCAGCACCATTGCCGCCCCGCTTACGGAAGTTATTAAGAAGGACGTTGGATTCAAGTGGGAAGATGCACAAGAAAAAATCTTCCAAGCCTTGAAAGAGAAGCTCACTTATTCTCCCGTTTTAATTCTTCCTAATTTTTTGAAACTTTTGAGATTGAGTGTGATGCCTCCGGGATAAGTATTGGAGCTGTTTTGATGCAGGATCATAAGCCCATAGCATACTTTAGCGAGAAGCTAGGAGGAACGACACTCAACTGTCCGACTTACGATAAGGAGCTTTACGCGTTGGTACGAGCACTACAAACGTGGCAACACTATCTATGGCCGAAAGAGTTCGTCATTCATACCGACCACGAGTCTCTCAAGCACATAAAGGGTCAATAAAAGCTCAACAAACGTCATGCACGGTGGGTCGAATTCATAGAAACTTTTCCATACGTGATTAAGTACAAAAAAGGTAAAGATAATGTTGTAGCCGACGCATTATCTCGGAGGTATGTTTTGCTTACTTCTTTGGATGCAAGATTATTGGGTTTTGAGCAAATAAAAGACTTATATGCTAATGATTCTGATTTTAGCAAAATATTTCAATCTTGTGAGAAGTTTGCCTTCGGAAAATATTATCGGCATGATGGATATTTATTCTATGATAATAGACTTTGTGTGCCTCATTCTTCTTTGCGAGAATTGTTTCTAAGAGAAGCTCATGGAGGTGACTAATGGGACACTTTGGAGTTGCTAAGATGTACAAGGTAATGCAAGAACACTTCCATTGGCCACACATGAAAAGAGATGTCGAGCGACTATGTGAACGTTGCACGACTTGTAAGCAAGCTAAGGCTAAGGTTCAACGCCACGATTTGTATAACCCTTTACCTATTCCTTTGCATCCTTGGAATGATATATCTATGAATTTTGTGGTAGGATTGCCTAGGACTAGGGCTGGTAAGGATTCTATCTTTGTGGTTGTTGATCGCTTTTCTAAAATGGCACATTTTATTCCATGTCATAAAATCGATGATACATCTCATGTTGCTAGCTTGTTCTTTAGAGAAGTTGTTCGTTTGCATGGCATTCCTAAGACCATAGTTTCTGATCGTGATACTAAGTTCCTTAGTTATTTTTGGAAAACTTTGTGGTCAAAGTTAGGGACTAAATTGCTTTTCTCTACTACATGTCATCCGCAAACCGATGGTCAAACTAAAGTTGTTAATCGAACCTTGTCTACTTTGTTACGTGTGCTCATTAAAAAGAATCTTAAGACTTGGGAAGATTGCTTGCCGCATGTTGAATTTGCTTATAATCATTCGATGCATTCCGCGACTAAGTTTTCTCCTTTTGAAATTGTTTATGGGTTCAATCCCACATCTCCTTTGGATCTAATGCCTTTACCTTTGAGTGTAAGATCAAGTCTCGATGGCAAGAAGAAAGCCGATTTAGTGCAACAGATTCACAGCCGACGAGCGGTGAATCGGCACTCGGCAGCATTCGAACCCCGCTGCGTCGCGGCGCTGCCATCGCGGTGAATCCGGAGATAACCCTACTCCAGAACGAAATCCGGGCTATGCAGTCCAAAGTCCACAATGCAACGAGTGCGGCGCCCGACGTGGACCGAGTTATTGAGGATTCTAAGAAAACTCCATTTTCGCCGCAAATCTCAATGGCTCGGCTTAAAGATACCCGCAAAGTCAAGTTCCAAAGCTACAAAGGGAAAGGGGACCCCAAGGTTCACCTCCAGACCTTTTTGCTCATGGCAAGTCGGGTGGATTTCGAACCACACGAAGAAGATGCCGGGTACTGTAAACTGTTCGCAGAAACTCTCCAGGGACCAGCTCTCCGTTGGTTCGCGTCGCTGGGTGAGGGTTCGGTCGACGACTTCACCCAGTTCTCAACCACTTTCATCAAGCAGTACTCCAGCTTTATTAGGGTAGGAGTTACATACGCCCAGCTATGGAATCTCAGTCAGGGACCCAACGACTCACTCCACTCATACGTAGATAAATTCAAGGAGATAATGGTGCAAATATCGGGGTTCTCCGACTCCGCTGCCTTGTCGGCCCTTAAGAACGGGCTCTGGCACGAGTCTCGATTCAGAGAGGAACTGACAGTCAATAGGCCCTCTAACATTCAGGACGCCCTACACCGAGCTTCGAACTGGATCGCTGCGGAGGAGGACAAGGCATCCCTGGCAAAGAAATACAAAGTTGCGCCCAAGGCGAACTTTGACCCGAACCCGAGGAAAGGGCCGCGACCTGGAGCGGCGACGTTCGCGGTCGACAAGGAACAGAAGGGCGGGGCGAGGAAAACTGCTAGTGCCCCCCGCCCTAGGAATGGGGCTTTTCCGAACAACAAGTGGGTCCACGAACAGCCCAAGGATGAGGACTCGTACTACGAGCTCCATAAAGTAGGGGGCACGCGACCAGGAATTGCAAGAAGCTCATGCACTTGCTCGCGGAACGGTTCATTAGTGGGGGGATGCCAGAAATAACGATAGAGGAATTGGACCAAGTTTAGAATTCAGTACAGCAGATAACTGAAGTCCCTACTGATTTGAGTACGGAGGACGAGGCTCCCCCGGCTAAGAAACCTAAAACCCCCTTGATCCAGGAAATACCGCAAGAATCCAATAAGAGAATTGACGTCATAATGGGAGGATCCCGGATATTCAGGAACTCCATCCGGGCGATTGAAGACCACCAGAGGAAGCTCAACGGCTCGATACCTCAGAAGCTCAGGTCGCAGGAGGAAAACTATAATGCCCCAACCCGATTATTACTCTACAGAAAGGAAACACGGCCGAGATAATCTGATCAAAACACTATTCATTTTCCGACTAAAATTCCGACAAGTCATTTTAAGCATAAAACATGATTCTTTCATTAAAACAAAGGTTCTAGTACAACGGTAAGTTTGCTATACGCTATTACATCGTTTTAATACTAGACCAACATGAAACTATCCAATTAAGCATAACCATCATTCACTTCTTGCCTTAGTCTCACGAACTGGTTCCAGCAATCCCCTTACCCTTTCCTGCATCACAAAGGAGGCGTAAGCAAACGAATTGCTTAGTGAGAACGGTCGTCCCGTCTCAGCAGGCCACAATCAAACAATCGAATTCAATACATCGAAACAAACAGTCAATAATGCTAGTCACGAACAGAAACTTGTCAAGCATGACTATCCGGATTTATCGAGCAATCTTCCCGCAACCGAACAAGCCTCATCGAGCGCATTGCCGATCTAGATTCTCGAGTAAACTGAATCAGTCATCGAGACTAAGTAGCAGATAATCGTTACATGAGAAGCAAACATTCGGAATAAACCAGACAACAAAGACTAAGTGAATCTATGCAAGAAAACGACTTAAGATTCATAGCCACGGTCGCGCACTCACCGTAGTCTCTCGGATACAGATTCTGACACCTCTTGATGCTCGGATTCTCGCTAACTTCTCGAACAGTTCACTGAAAATCCATACCACAGATCAGATGATCGTTCCCTTAGATGATAAATCGAAGAAAATATCGATAAACACCAAGTTTATCGATACTTACCCAAATTACTCGACCAACTCAACGATACTTCGAACAGATCTTCCAACGAGTCGCTTTTACCCGAAATCTACGACAAACAGAACATATCACCGATTGATCTTCGATAAAACTAAGTAATTATCGATAAACATGAAGTTTCTCGATGATTACCTTGAATTCTCGACAAACGCTGACAGATCTTTGACAATCTCTCTCGGTTCTCGACGGTTACTCGCACTTTCTCAAAAATTCTCTCAAACTTTCGGAGTTCTTATGCTTTTCGATCACACTCGCAAAGAGTGACGCTCACTCCCCTTTTATAAGCGAGTCTAAGCAGTTAATCTTGATAAACCGCTCAATAACCGTCCACTAACTCGCTCCGCGTCTTTCTTCTCACCAGTAATAACCGTTCTGGCGCTTTCTTGCGAGAAACTTAACTTGTTCCGCTAATTCTTGACATGACTCGCAGATCATCGATCCGGGTCGAAACTTCTCGCACGGATCTTCGTATCACCGATCCCCGAACGTCAGCTCTCCGACCAAGCTCCTCCGAAAAACCCGGATGTCCGAATAACTGACCAACTTAAGCGAGAAACACGGATTTCTGCTCGACAATCAGCTTTCTCTCGCAACATTCGGATTCTCATCGATCAGCTATCGATAAATTCTCAAATCTTCGACCTGAGGTCGAGAGCAATCAGATTCCATCGATCAAAGTCGAGTGTTCGGCTTACGAAGGGTAGAAAACATATCTTTAGGAACCACGAACACGGTCGCTACAAAAACCTTCATGATATAGTATTCTCTGAACAGGAGACCCGCGAGCTTGACTTCCCGCACGATGACGCACTGGTTAGTACTCTGGACGTCGCGAACCACGAGGTGTGCAGAATCTCGGGGCACAAACTGCTGGTGCAACAGCAACCACAGCTGGAGGTCGCCAAGAAACCGGTATGAGACAAGCTGAAAGGTGACCTCTACGAGGAGATTTTCATAAATGAAAAGTTTCCAGAACAAGGGATCAAGGTTGGGGCCGGATTGACCACCGAGGTCCGAAGTGAACTGGTCGCTTTTCTGAAGGAGAATAAGGCGAAGTTAGCCTGGGGCGTGGGTGACATGACCGGCATAAGCATCGACGTCATCTCCCACGAGCTCAACGTGGACGCCTCTCATAAGCCCGTCAAACAGAAACGAAGAAAGCTAGGGAAGGAGAGAGCTGAGATCGTCAATGTTGAAGTGACTCGACTTCTCAAGGCTGGTTTGGTCCGCGAAGTCCAGTACCCTGAATGGCTGGCGAATACGGTGGTGGTCCAGAAGAAGAATGGGAAGTCCAGGGTATGCGTGGACTTCACCGACCTTAACAAGGCGTGCCCGAAGGATAGTTTTCCTCTCCTCATGATATGATTATGGGAAGTTTCAAGATATGTCGTCATTGTTTTGAGCGTATCTTCTCAACCACGAGTAATCTATGCACGAAACGACTTGGAGAAGATGCTCAACTCAACTACAGAATTCTTCAAAGAAGAATCAAGTCAAACGGAGTTCAGACGAAGGAGTTATTGATTTCACAAATCATATGTTTTCCAGTTTACCCGATTCAGATAGGCGTCCATTCAACGAAGGATTCAAAACGGGCCAGAATGAATTAAGTTACAAATCAAGTTGTCCTCCAATCTTGATCCATGAGGGAAGCCCAAATAAGTGGATTCAGCCTAAAATGAATGAAGGAAGATCAATTTTCGTCCATAGCAAAACAACATTTAATTATGTCAATTTATCTCTCTTACATGCACTTTAAAGTTTAAGTTTCATCTCCCTAAATGCTTTGCATGTTGAGCTATTATTATGGTCGTTTTTGATGTAAATTTCCTCTATATAATGAGGTTATCTCATGAATAAAAAGAATAAACCTTTTTGATATTTTTGGAACCTTTTGAGAGTGTTTATCATTTTTCGTCAATGGTGTGTAATATCCATTGGTTTGGTTAATGGTGTGTAATATCCATTGATCAATGCATGATCCGTCTTGGTGTGTCATATCCAGGGGGTTCTTGTCGAGAGTGATTCTCATTGTCACCCTTGAATTCGTCTTAGTGTGTCATATCTAAGGGATTCAAGTTCGGTAAATCAAGAGTCTTCCGCAGCTATTGTGCGACCATTCGCTCCACCATCCTTGTTCTTCGTGGCTACACCGTCCGTTGAACCTAAGGAATATCTTTCACCATCTTAGACTGTCGAGTCCTCGGGAGGATTTTTATCACCTCACATTGACATGTTGGTGGAATCCACCTCGGGGCACGAACTGCTAACTTTTAGGGACGCGTTCTCCGGGTATAATCAAATATTAATGCACCCCGAGGACCAGGAAAAGACAGCGTTCATAACGGACCGAGGGACGTACTGTTACAAAGTAATGCCCTTCGGACTGAAGAACGCAGGAGCGACGTACCAGCGCTTAGTAAAGAAGATGTTCTCCGATCTCCTGGGAAAAACAATGGAAGTCTACATTGACGACATGCTAGTAAAATCCCTGGAGTCCAGTTCCCACGTCGAGCACATCCGAGAGTGCTTCGCAATCCTTAATAAGTTTGGGATGAAGCTAAATCCGTCCAAATGCACCTTCGCGGTACCGTCTGGAGAATTCCTCGGGTACATAGTCACAAAAAGAGGAATCGAGGCTAACCTTAGGCAAATAAAGGCTTTCCTATCCATGAGTTCGCCAAGTAACATAAGGGAGGTACAACGTCTAAATGGGAGAATTGCTGCCCTTAATAGATTTATCTCCCGGTCAACGGACAATTGCTTACCGTTCTTCCAGCTCCTAAAGAAAGGAAACAAAAACTTTGCATGGAGTAAGGAATGTGAGTTTGCCTTCGGATTGTTGAAACAGTACCTGGCTAACTATAATGCCCCAACCCGATTTTAACTTTACCGAGAGGAAACTCGGCAGAAAAACTCCGATCAGAACACTATTCATTTTCCGGCTAAAATTCCGACAAGTCATTTTTAAGCATAAAACGGAATTCTTTCATTAATAACAAAGGTTCTAGTACAACGGTAAGTTTGCTATAGGCTATTACATCGTTTTAATACTAGACCAACATGAAACTATCCAAATAACCACCATCCTTCCCTTCTTGCCTTAGTCTCGCGAACTGGTTCCGACATTTCCATTACCCTTTCCTGCATCACAAAGGAGGCGTAAGCAACGAATTGCTTAGTGAGAGCGGTCGTCCCGTCTCACCAGGCCATAACCAAACAATCGCATTCAATACATAGATCAAACAGTCAATATTGCAAGTCACGAACAGAAACTTGTCAAGCATAACTATCCGGATTTATCGAGCAATCTTCCCGCAACCGAACAAGCCTCATCGAGCGCATTGCCGATCTAGATTCTCGAGTAAACCGAACCAGTCATCGAGACTAAGCAACAGATAATCGATAAATGACAAGCAAACATTCGGAATAAACCAGACAAACAAAAACTAAGTGAAACTATGCACGAAAACGACTCAAGAATCATAGCCACGGTCGCGCACTCACCGTAGTCTCTCGGATACAGATTCTGACACCTCTTGATGCTTGGATTCTCGGTAACTTCTCGAACAGTTCACTGAAAATCCATATCAAAGATCAGATCATCGTTCCCTTAGATGATAAACCGAAGAAAATATCGATAAACACCAAGTTTATCGATACTTACCCCAAATAACTCGACCAACTCAACGATACTTCGCTCAGATCTTCCGATGAGTCGCTCCTTAGAAGAAATCTACGACAAACAGAACAGATCACCGATTGATCTTCGACAATCTCTCTCGGATCTTGGCAGTTACTCGCTCTAACTCGACAATTATCTCAGACTTTCAGAGCTCTTATGGTTTTCGGTCACACTCGCGAAGAATGACGGTCGATCCCCTTTTATAAGCGAGTCTAAGCAGTTAATCTCGATAAACTGCTTAGTAACCGTCCACTAACTCACTCCGCGTCTTTTCTCTCGCGAAAAATAACCGTTCCCGCGTTTTCTTTCGAGAAAACTTAACCAGTTCGCCAATGCTCGACAAAACACGCGGATCATCGATCTCGGTCGAGACTTCACGCACGGATCTTCGTATCACCGATCCCCGAACGTCAGCCCTCCGACCACGCTTCTCCGAAAAACCCGGATGTCCGAATAACCGACTATCTTATGCGAGAAACACGGGTTTCAGCTCGGCAATCAGCTTTCTCTCGCAACATTCGGATTCCCATCGATCGGCTATCGATAAATTCTCGAAACTCCGACCAAAGGTCGAGAATACTCGGATTCCATCGACCAAAGTCGAGTGTTCAGCTTGCAAAGGATAGAAAACATACCCTTAGGTACCACGAATACGGTCGCTACACTAACCCTCCCGTACTGGCCAAACCGGAACTGGGGGAGCCACTTTTCCTTTACGTGGCTGTCTCGGACCACGCCGTCAGCGGAGTGTTAGTTCGGGAAGAGAAGGGGGAGCAAAGGCCCGTTTACTATGTTAGCAAGTCGTTCACGGGAGCCGAAGCTCGCTATCCCATGATGGAAAAGCTAGCACTCGTGGTGATAACATCGGCTAGAAAACTAAGGCCATATTTCCAGTCCCATACGTCTCAACCGCTTCGCACCATACTTCATAGCCCGAGCCAGTCCGGAAGAATTGCGAAGTGGGCCATCGAACTCAGTGAGTACGATTTGGAATTCCAAGCTCGGACGACGGCGAAGTCCCAGGTCTTGGCAAATTTTCTAATAGAACTGCCCCTGGCGGGTCGTCAGACGGAAAGCGGCGCAAACACGCCCTGGGTACTGCACGTAGATGGGGCCTCATCTAGGCATGGGAGTGGGATATAAATTCGATTATGATCGCCCACGAATGAAGTGTTCGAGCAATCATTTCGGCTGGCTTTTGAGGCCTCTAATAACGAAGCTGAGTATGAGTCCCTGTTGGCCGGGCTTTGCCTAGCCTTGGGAATTGGCGTGCAGCGGTTACACACCTTCTGTGATTCCCAACTGGTTGTCAGCCAGTTGTCCGGGGAATACGAAGCTAAAGACGAACGTATGGGGGTTTATCTAGCTCTAGCCCGGGAGTTAGTTTCCAAATTCGCCCACTTCGAGATGAATAAGATTCCTAGGGCTGAGAACTCAACCGCGGATTTCCTGGCATCTCTAGCATCAACATCGGAAGCAACTACAACGAGAATCATCCCAGTAGAAATACTCGAACAGTCGAGCATTCATTGTGGGAGGGTCGAGGTGAACGTGCTTACAAGGTCGATGCAACGTCGTCTATATCGGGGAGAACCTTTACCCGAAGCCCCAGCGGTCAAGCGAACCAAAAGAGTCCACACACAACGCCCAGAGGCGGAAACTCCTCACGAGGTCCGGGCTGAAGGCGCGAGCCTCCAGTACAAAGTCGAGCCCGGAGTAGGTATCCGGGATCTCCCGGAGGATTTCGGCGAACTCGGGGCTGAGGAGGGGGAGAACGGGAAGTCATTACCATTGGGCCCAGAAGGCGATTGGAGAACTCCTATCCTGGATTATTAGCGTAAGGCCAAACCGCCCGATAGCAAGTGGCAAGCCCGAAAGATTAAAGTTGTCAGTGCGAGGTTCTGTTTGCATAACGGTCGCCTACTTCGGAGAAGTATTGGGGCCCTTATCTAACATGTGTAGCTGGCAATGACCCTGCTACCTTGTTAAGAATGATTCATGACGGACCGAATGGCAACCATTCCGGGGCAAGGACGCTGGCATTTAAAATTAAGTGGCAAGGGATCTTTTGGCCCACGATGTTGGCGGACTGCGAGGCATTTGTTAGAAAGTGTGACAACAGCCAGAGGCACGCCCCTACAATTCATCAACCTTCCTAGCTGTTGTCCTCGATCTCCTCTCCATATCCGTTCATGAGGTGGTCCATGGATATTGTAGGCCCACTCCATACTTCGACCAGGGGGGTAAGGTTCCTGTTTGTACTAACAGATTACTTCTCCAAATGGGTGGAGGCAGCGGCGTACTCTACCATCGGAGGGGGGCAAGTCAAGCAGTTTGTGTGGAAGGAGATCGTTTGTCGGCACGGAGTCCCCTACGAAATCGTAACTGACAACGAGTCGCAGTTCATATCCCATCAGTTCGAAGCATTCTGTGCGCATATGAAAATAAGACTTAGCAAGTCCACCCCGCGGTACCCACATGGGAACGGGCTGGCGGAGGCAATGAACAAGGTAATCTTATCTAACTTAAAGAAACGCCTCGATGCGCACAAAGGTCGATTGGCGGAGGAACTGCAAAGGGTTCTGTGGGCAATCCGAACAATCCCCCGACCCTCGACTAAAGAGTCGCCATACTCACTCGTATATGGGGTAGAAGTAGTTATCCCGGCCGAGCTAGAAGTGCCCGGAGTTCGGGTGACACTAAACCCTTGGATGAGTTCGGAGAACAACGAGTTCTTAAAGGATACCTTGGATGTTGTTGACGAAAGGCGGGATCAATCTATGATTCGCTCACAGCATTATCGAGACGCCATAGCTCGGTACAACAATGCCAAAGTTAAGCATCGCGAGCTGAAGGTCGGTGATTTGGTTCTTCGGAAGGTTTACGAGAATACCAAGGAGCTGAACGCCGGAAAACTGGGTGTTAATTGGGAAGGACCGTACAAAATAGTTTCCGATGTGCGAAACGGAGTTTACCGCCTAGCGGACCCAATGGGAAAACCAGTTCCTAGGTCGTGGAACATGATGCATCTAAAGCTCTATTTTACTTAAGCAAAAATAAAAAAGAATGAAGTTGTATTTGTAATCGAACTATGGTCGGCTCGATCCCAATTTTGTAAGGGTACGTAGGCAGCCTGTTTAAAGCAGGTCCAGCTCGTATTTAAAATAAAAGTGAAGATTTATAAATGCTCTAGTGCAAGATCGCAAAAGTATGAGCTAATGCGAACAGTAAAATTAAGCAAATCAAAGTAAAGGGGTGAGACAACCGAGGCCGAAATTCACCCCAAATATAGAAACAACAGGAAAAGAAATATTTAATGTCTTAAAAATAAAGGCAACAAAAGGGGGGTCTAAGACCAAACAACCCGATTAGTTCACTCTGTCGGTTTCCGAGCTCAGGGACTGTTCATCAGCGACAACCTCTTCGGGAGTCTTCGGTCCAGCACCCTCCGTTGCACCGGGCCACACACGCTCGATGCCCTGGGTCGAGACATTGGCAGGATTAGTCTCTGACTCATCTATCACAAGGGGGGCAGATGTCGAACCCAGCTCGAGCTCGGGGGGAATATCTGCCCAATATTTATCGAAATCCCTAGGATTGAATTTGGTCTGCAGTACCTCTTTTGTAGTCTAGATGGCTTCGATCTCGTCCTTCCTAGGAGTTTCGAGCTCGGCTTGCAGGTCGGCAATCTCCCCCGCCTCTATCTCCTCCACGAGCATCCGATTGGCCGTAATTTCGGCAGCACGAATAGTGGCAAGGACTAAGCGGTTGTGATCGCTGAGGAAAACGTGCACGCCCTCAGCCGCCTCCCGAAGTTGAGCCCGGGTTTCCCTCCGCTCCTCGCGAAGAGCTTTCTTTATCTCCGCGCGGAATTTGACCTCCATCGCGTGGTTTCTGAGCCGCAGTTCGTCAACCTCCCTTCTTGCAGACTTCTCCACCTCGACGGCCTCGAGGTACAGATCAACGGCCTTTTTCTGCTTATCTTGAGCGTCCTCGAGAGAGGCCTCCGCGATCTTCAGATCCGACTCCAATGACTTAAGACGGGAGCCGAACTTCTTGGCCTTCTCCACCTCAAGATGGTTCGCTGCTTGGACAGCAGTGAGGCGCTTAACCCGTTTCTCAATCTCGGAGATTTAGGAACGAAGTTCCTTGACGACATTGGCGTCAGGGTTGGAGAGCAGTTGGTGCTCGTAGCTTGCGACCGCACTATTGAACTCGATAAGGGTCTGCATAAGAGGTAAAAGTTTAATCAGAAGATTGAGAAGGTAGGAATTCTCAGACTCAGTTGAGAACAACGGTTATCTCCCCGACTTTCTCTGCAAAGCGAAAGTAGTTCTCCCGGTTGACTTCGACCATGTCCTGAAAGCAAGGCACCCGAGCTCCTGGCCGGCTGAAACTGCGCATCATGTCCGCAAGCGACTTCGGGGGAGCTGGAAAAATAACCGTAAGTGTCACTAAGTAATAAGAACGGAAGCGTAGCGACAAGGAGAACATACCTGGTAGTTCATGATGGGGTTCGCCTTTCTGCCCAGTGGGGGGAGGATAGGGGTTAGCCCCTTTCGGACTAACCTCAGCTCGTTTCCTCAGCGAGCTGGCTTCAGGTCGCTTCGCCGAATCACCCGTGCGAAGGCGAGAAGTCTCCCGAGATATCGGAGTGGAGTCCGGGGCCTTCCTTTTCTTGGGAATCTCGCTCGCATCTTTTCCCACCTGGGAGCTCGCAGGAGTAGGGGGCTCGGAGGTCGTTTCTCCTGAAGCAGTGGTAGAGTCATGCGTAGCCTCCAGTAGGTGACCCCGGGGCTCGGACTAAAGGGTTGAGCAGGAGCTTTTCTCCTTTGCAGGAGTCGTGGACTTCCTCTCAGCAAGGGCAGTAGCCATTTTTCTCTTCAGCTCCTTCTCTCGGAGCTCCGCTTGCTTCTTGTGGGCTCTCTCCTCCCGGTAGTTCATATTATGAGGGAGCACGGGCTGCAGAGAGCTGGTGACGAGGGAGCTGGTTCGAATACGAGCTCCGGACTCCCAAACTTGGTGGGAGGGGAAGGAATCCCAAGCAGTCTGACCACCGCAGAAGTTTATGAAGTAGTCAGCGAAGGTACGGGATAAGGAGCCTCGCTCCAAGTTAGCTGAAAATACAAGAGGATCGGGTCAGAATCTGAATATACGCGTTAAGTAAGAAAGTAATGTAGGGCAGGTCGGTCCCCCTCCGCAAATTCAACCAATAATCGGGCTCCACTTCAGAATAAATAAGTCCGTCAGGTTGCCGAACGTAGTGCTGTCAACAGGGAAGTAGAAGTAACCACTCCGCCAGTTGTCGTCCTTCTCGGTTAAGTCATCAAGAACCCGGAACCCGGCGAGCGTACTGAGGTAGAAGGTCCCTCTAGTTCGCCCTCCTTTGATGGTTTACAAATGGAGGATGTTTTGAAAGGTCAAGAGGTAGCCGTGCTCTTCCGCTAGGGTCTGGAGGCAGAGGACGATGCGAATGAAGTTCAGGCATAGCTGCGGAAGCAAAACGCTCAGGGCATACATCGCCTTTACCAGGAGTTCCGGCAGCAGGAAGTAGAGCCCGCAGGTGGAGAACATAACTTTATAGGGACAGCAGTACCCTTCCGGAGGGTCCTCCGGTGACTGCTCGCTGGTCGGGGCCAGTATCTTTGATGTATCGGGGAGGCCGCAAAGGAAGCGGACACCTATAAGGTCATCCTCCTTGATCATAGACGGCGGGTGAGGACCAAATTGTTCTGGAATTGTGTCCTCGATCGGCTGGTTCGGTTGCTTGGGAGGAGACATCTCGCGCAGTAGGGTTTGATGACGTAGGGTCGAAGGTTGAGAGGAAGCGATCTCGGCGAGTTTAACAGTCGGAAAAAACAGCGATGGAAACGAAGAGGAAAAGAAAAGAGAAGAGAAGAAAATTGGATGAGGGGATATCTGTACCTTTTATAGCAGGTTCGTCCGTCGCAGGAGCAATGATGGCCTAGGGAAGCTAAAAGATCGTGACCTTTATAGTTCCAGTGTAGGGGCGTCATTACGGTAATTGAGGAGGCGCGGTAAACCAAAAAGGCAACCGTGAATCGAGGTGTATCAATCATGACGATTCGGGGATCTTAGTTCCCATAAATGATTCCGCATTTAAGTCTCCCGAACTAAAACCACTTCGAAAGACTTGGGGGGCAAACTGTGGGCCCTAGAATCGGCACTTTGCTTCATGGTGATTCAGGCTTCGTACGGCCCTGGCCCAGTACGATTAGATTACGATTAAGCCGAGAGGCCCGTCTACGGTCGAGCTGAGAACTGGCGCAAGAGCAATAAATGCGAGATCGTAACGGTCGAACTAACGAGTCAACGGAGCCGTAATGGAGATCGCGGATTATCCGGAGCGGAGATTGCGCGTGGTTTGATTGTCTTAGGACTTGTATATAAAGAGATTAGGGGATCATGTTGTAGGGGGATCGATAATAAAATAATAACGAGAATTGTTACTCTTACATTCATCCTTTGCAAACCAATTTCAGTTCGAGTTCGGGCAAGATTAATCAGTTCCCAACTTAGTACGTTCTAGAATCTTAGGTGGAATTAGCTCCTACAAAGTAAAACCAAAGAAAACACTAATAATAACATTACGATAAGCAATTTTAATAGTATGTATTATTGTTTGATAATGAATAAAATTGCTATGACTTCTAAAAATATGGTCGGTGCAATTGGTTCATATTGTCGCGACTTAGTGACAATTTTTATGGGAAAAATGCCATTAAAATCCTAGAGAGTACTTTTTCGTTGATTTAAATCATGTACTCTCCAACCGTTGATTTAAATCACAAACTCTCTTTATTCTGAAACTTTGGTTCACTTTGCCAATTTAGGCACAACGTTAAATGGCCAGACGGAGTAATTAAACGGGGTTAATTCTTGTTAACGACATCCGTCAAATACAAAACGAAGCTGTTTTAAACATAACCCAAAACACTTAATCGATTCAGATTTTCCCCAAAATCCCCAAATCAGAAATCCTAGATCTAATTGGAATTTTCTCTTCTTCTTCTTCTTTTTCTTCGTTAATCTCTGTTGTTCTTCGTGCAAGTGATGACTCAGAGAAAGAGAAAGAAACTCTCTACACATCGTACCAAACAGAAGAAGCCTGACAGTGTGGACAAATCGTCTACTCACAAGTCGACTCCTCCCGATTTGATTGCTCCCGAGTTGAATGCTCCTGATTTGGTCGCTGCTGAATAGGCTGCTGGTAAAGGTACTACTACTCCAATTATCAATTATCATGGGTCGCATGTTCCGTTACAAGTGTGAGACCCCAGTTGCTGAGATGTTTAAATGAATTGATTTGGCCACCTATGTCACCAAAGTGCACTTATCTTCTCGGTCAAAGGTCCTGAGAGAACTCCACATTTAAGCATGCTTATGCTGGAGTAGTCAAATGATGGGTGACCTTTCGGGAAGTGGTTGTCGGAATTGTGTGAGTGAGGCCAAAACACAGGGAAATATCATGTGGTGAATTGTAGGATCGGTAAAGAAGTATTTAAGCCTCCCGGACGTAGTTAACCGACCGTCGGATGTTAATGGGCTCATGGGCCTAGTGAGAGGACATGAGGCCCATTAAGAGAAGTGGGCCCATGGGCTGGTGGTGAACATGGGGCCCACTAGGGAGATGGCGGTCGGGGCGTTACAAGTGGTATCAGAGTCGAACCCTGACAAGTGTGGAGTGGTGGGCTCAGACTGTCAAGGGGTGACGATCGTGGTGCGCAACGAGGACGTTGCGGTCTGTTAGTGGGGGAGAATTGTGAGACCCCAGTTGCGGAGAGGTTTAAATGAATTGATTTGGCCACCTATGTGACCAAAGTGCACTTATCTTTTCGGTCAAAGGTCCTAAGAGAACTCCACGGTTAAGTAAAAGAGTCATGACATGGAGCAACTGTAAACAAGAAGGACACAGTAGGAAATCTTGTTCAAATTCGACTGTTGAAGCTCCACCTGCAAGACCTAGAGGTCGAGCAAGGAAGAATCATGTTTGTTTTTTTTTCATGTTTTAACTAAGTATAAGGTTTAATACTATGTGACTTCCAGGGAATGTATTGTTTGGCCAAGGACAAACATGGGAAGGATTACAGCCAGCTTCACAAGCCTCTCAGGGATCACAACCAGCTTCACAAGGTTCACATGGTGTTCCACAACCTGCTTCACAAGCTTCACATGGTGTTCCACAAGCTTCTTTACAACCAACACAGAGGAGACAAGCAACACGGAGGAGGGCATCAACATAGTGGGAACCTCCTCAAGCTCCACAAAGTGAGCAAGGACTAGGCGGCTGGAGAGCATTGTTTGAATGTTCAAGATAGGATGTTTGAATAATGCTGTTTTTGGTTTGTTTCAGAAATTATGTTTCTTTTGTTTTTTTCTAAACTATGTTGTTTCAAAACATAGAAGAAGCTTTTGTTTTGTCTAAACTCAGCTTGGTTCTATTTTATTGTCTATGTTCTGTTTTGACTACACATGGGATTGTTTCTATTTTGTTTTCTAAACATGGATATCTTACGTTATTTATGTTGTCTAAAACATACAAACATAACCAAGCATAAATTTAAACATAACATTACCAAAACATGCATACAAACCATTACCAAAAATACAAACCAACATACTCTTTTGTTCATAATACTTCACAAAACAAACACACACACACACACACACACACACACACTAATACCCGATAACAAACTTCGATTGCTTTGCTTTGTCAACCATTAGGTAAACAATGCCAATAGAGACAACACAAAGCCACACCACATACACATTGATCCACTTTTTAGACTTGCGGATTTCTTGAAGGTTCCATAGTGCTTCTTCCTTCAATACTTGTAAAGCACCATTCAACTCAATAACTTCAGATTTGGTTTTCACAATCTCATTTGCCATAACTCCTAGTTTTGGTAATGCATCTTGAACTTCCTCATACACAACATCCTCGACCCACTTAAACATGTGACCCTGTTGCAAAAAATAAACACACCATTGAACTGATACATTCTATAAGCTACAAGAAGCTACATTGAACAAACCAGTGACTGCTTACATCTCTCTTTTTTGTCCACGACCTTGCATCCTGATAACCCTATATTTTTATACTCTTAAGCATATGTTTTGTGCATTAATTGCATGTCTAGAGCTCTACTTCTTAGGATTTCTAGTCTTTTGCATTATATTTTGCATCTAGGATCTTTAGCATAGGGATTTGCATATCATCTGCATTTTAGAGCAAAAACAGGCACACTCGGACACTGCAAAGCATGGACCCGATCGAGTGTGTCCAGAACGATCAAGCACCCGGACTCAGAGGAGGAAGCAGGACCCGAACGAGCCCAACATGCACCCGACCGAGCTCTCTTTAAACCGACTTTGTAATTTTTCTTTTTGTGTTTTAGGGCTTCCTGCCTTTAGTATAAATAGACCTCTTAGGTCATTAAGCCAAAAATCGAGTTTCATTAGGGTTTTTCTCTGTAGCCAACAAACATTTCCAGAAACTTGTAATCTTCATAAGTTTTGATCTATTGAGAATTTGGAGTTGCTTCTTTATATTATTGTGCTCCTTAGATAATTATCTATCTAGTTATGCAAGATTCAAAGATTTATGGGTTTGTGTTCTTCATGATGAACTCCAGATCTGAGTAGTTTTTCTGGGTTTAGAGGATGGGTTAGGTGATGAGAATCTTAGTTTATAGGGTTGCTTAAGTATAGATTTAGGTAGATACCTTCTTGATTAGGAGATCTTAATGCTATCTTAGCATTAACCATGTGGGATTAGATCTTAGACATTCCAGCACTTAAAAAGTGTTCAAATGGAATCTCTGATCAACTAATGCCAGAGATCTATTTACTTACCCAAGAGATTGGTTGTTAAGGAGTAGATTGACATTAATGAGCTTGTTCTTTATGCCTATTTATAGTATGTTTCATCAATGAAAGTTGAGATTAGGAAGTGCTATAGATTTGATCATTTTTGCCAAGAGATTGGACTGATTAGGTTAACTGGTTCATTGTCTAGGATTAGATCTACTTGAGCATGTTAAGCATCCCAAAGAGATTAAGAGGATTCATCACCCCATTAGCCCATCCTTAAGACCCTTGTCTATCTGATTGATTACCTGCCTTTTACTTTCTGCTTTCATTATTGTCTCTGTAGTTAAGTTTTATGCATTAGGGTTCTTTAAACCAAACCTTCAATTGATTGGCTTGACTTGATTAGTTCTGTTATATCTTGATTGACAATGGGGAATTGAACTCCAAGAGTACACCAAATACCTCTTTCAATTTGGCGCCGCTGCCATTTGGATGTTATTTGTTCCAGTTAGGATCCCAGTTCTATCTAGATCAAGTTCTTTTACTTTCGTTTCTATTCGATTACTGATTTCTACCTTTACTACTTGACTGTCTTGCATTTCAGGTACACTCGACCGAGCTACACTCTGCACTCGACCGCGCTACACTCTGCACTCGACCGAGCTACAATCTGCACTTGACCGAGCTACCTGCAAATCCGATCGAGCCTAACCTCGTGTTTCTGATCGAGCAACCTTGTATGCACACTAGATCCAAGGGCAACCAGCACCTACTCAATTACCTCAACAACATTGACCGCTTGCCTAGACAACTCAGAAAGCAACATGTTCAAACATCGGACATCAACACTCAGCAAGTGGAAATGGAGCCTCCACCACGGGCACCAACTCTAATCGGAGCCGGTGATGCCCCACAAAACCACACCACTCGACAAGGAATAGTCC